GGGGGGGGGGGGGGGGGGGGGGGGGGGGGTGGCGGGGGGGGGGGCTCAATAAGACACAGCTTTGGGTTGCCCAGGGAGAGGGGCCAGGGCTGGAATGTTTGCTCTCTGTCCAGCGTCTGGCTCTTGTCCTCTACGAGAAGAGGACCCCCAGGGGCCAGCACTCGGTGGCTGACTGTCAGGAAGGCAGGTACTGGGGGCCAACTAGGGGACGTACCCTAGCTGATGGGGGTCTTCTGGCTCCTGGTGGGCTTCCCTAGTCAACACCTTTGCAGCTCACCCACTCCTTTCCCAGAACAGAGACAGAAAACCCAGATGGACAGACACATTCCGGATCCCTTTTGTGTACCTCCTCCCTCCCCACCAAACAGCCTCTTTATGGAATGTTCTGCTCTCCCCTTGTGTGGGAGGGCCACAGCAGTGTGTGGGTGTGCGGTGCACCTGTGGACCGCAGTGTGACAGGCGTGTGTCCCCCAGTGTGAAATCACACCCTCAGGGGGCCCGCAGTCACGGGAAGGAAGGGCAGCCAGTGAAGCCAGGTGTCCTGGCTGCGTGCCGGCCTCAGACACACAGCAAGTCTGCACATCTGGAATGAGACAACCCACGCCACATCCCAGACAGCATCTGGCACAGGATACTGGCTGTAACACTTTCGGTTTATTGGCCGGGGTGCCCTGGTGTGGCTGACCAGCCACTGGGCCTGAGAGAGGCCCTGTCTTGTTTCCCACCCTCCCCTTCATCTCCTGGCAGTGGCTCCTGGGACACTCACGCCTCAGGAAGCGGGGGAGCGGGGGCTCAAATCAAACCAAATTGAGGCTGGAGAAGGGGTGGGATGTACATTACAATGAAGATTACGCCAGCGGCTATACACAATACAGCGTGTAGAGATGGGCAGGGAGGGCAGTGGGGTCCTGCACATGGTCCCTCTTGCCACCAGACAGGGCATCCAGAGAGGAATGGTCACTTCAAGTGTCTCAGTGAAAGCTCTGGCTCCCTGGCCCCTTGCTCTGGTGGGGGGTCACGGGGAAGTGGCTTATGAAGAGTCCAGTTCCCCTGCCTCCAGAGGACAGCCTCATCTGGCCCAGTGGCCCTGCAGGTCCTGGCGCCTGGAGGAGAGGGACAGTGTGTCGCCTTCTGCCCACCCCCCACTGTCCAGTCTCAGTGACCACAGGAAGCAGGCCTCCCGGTCCTGCTTCCCTGGTGCGAGGGCCATGGTCACTTCCTGCTGTGGAGTGTGTCCTGAAACTTGGTGCTGGTATACCGCAGGTGGAAGCCTTTCTTGGTGATGGTGTCATCCGAGTGGAATTTCACCAGGACAGAGTCTCCAGCTGAGTACACCTCCTCGGGAGGCTGGCAGAGAAAGGGATGGGTGTGATTTGGAGGAAGAGGGGCTGGGCTGCTCTCTTCGCTCCTGAAGACCCCCACTGTAAGGCAGGCAGGAGGCTCCCCAACTATTTCCCCACTCCCCCTGCTTCCTAAAGCAGAGAATTTCTTGCTGGTAGTTTCATGGGGCACCTGGGGGAGAAGAGAAAGCTCAGGGCAGAGGAGCTTAAGATCTGTCGCCCTTCCTCTCCAGATGCAGCTCTGCCACTAATTAGGTGGCTGCGTAGTCTCAGCAAGACACCTCTCTCTGGGCCTCCCTTCCCTCAACTGCAATCAGGAGCAAATGCTCTCTGCTCTCCAAGCCTGGAGGGCTGCTGGGGGAAGGCAGATGAGAGCACGAAGGTGGAGGCACTTTGTGAGGGGAGGGGACTCTGCAAGTGGGCTGTCCTCTTGCTGACACTTAGAGAAGAACAGCTGCTTCTCTGCCAGCATGTGGGGGAGGCTGCAGGGAGCAGCGCGGTCTCCCTGAGGCCTGAACTCTGCGTCTGAGTGTGCGTGGGAGAAAGTGCACGTGCGTGTGAGTCCCTGTGTGTGCAGTGGGCAGGGGAAGACAGCTTTCTCTGAAGGTGTAGAGGATTCAAAAAGACAAAGGCAAAAAAAAAAAAAAAAAAGAAAGAAAAGAAAAAGAAAAGCCACAAGCTCTTATTGGGAGGAAAATAAATCCACGTATGTGGTCAGCCCATGGACTTAGTTAAAGCCCATTAAGCAGACTTTCACCTGCTGACTCTCAAAGGGCTGTTTTATGGACCAAGAAGCGATGCTCAGGGTCTGCTTAGACAGCAGCAGCAGCATCGGCTTTGGGACAAGCTGGCCTCTCACCAGGAGGAGAAACTGGCAGAAAAGACAGGGTGTTTTTATGGCTCAGCCAGAAGGACTGGAGAGAGCCACTCAGCTCAGGCCCCCTGTCCCTGGCTCTGGCCCCAGCCTTGCCTCTGACTCCAGGCTCTGGTGAACTGCCTAGGGACAGGGGCAGGGGCTGAGGGGTCAGGGGGAACTCTATCCTGCTCCCCAGACACAAGCTACCTGCAGGCCCAACCAAACTGGTTCTGAGCAGGCCTGGGTCAGGGCAGGGCCTGTGCCAGAGGCTGCAGGAACCTCTGTGTAGCCCAGAAAGGATTGGGTTTCCTGGCTGGGGGCCAGGCTGGGTGTCCCGGTTCCTGCAAGGGCCGGGCATATAGGGCCATCTTAACTCTCCACACTTCCAGGGGCTCTGCCAGCATCAGCACTGGGTCTTGGGATCGGGACCAGAAGGGTGGAGGGTAGTGGGGGGCCTCACCCCTGAGCCGCAGTAGCGCCCCAGTCTGGGGGCTGTGCTGTCGTAGCCATCAAAGAGCTCCATGTAGTCGTAGCCGCAGTCGGTCTCCTCCTCCACCTCGAAAGTCTGGAACACGAGCTCCACACCGTAGCCTTCCTCAGCCACAATGACCCACTCGCAGTCCACTCCCCCTGGGTAGTTGTTGTCCCCAAACTGGGCATGGGAGTAAAGGTCCTTGGTCTTCACCTCTGCCTGCACCTGGCCCCCACACTCTGCAGGGACAACAAGATGGGCCACCAGACCCTGAGCACCACTGCCTGCCAGGCTCGAGGCTGTGTCACACGGACCCTCACAGTGATGTGGCGGCTGGGGACCAAGGCCACATGGCTCATGATGGGCAGGATGGGGCCCGGCCCAGGCCTTGGCCCAGAACAAGGGCCCTGCCGCTCCACCTCTGGCTGGATGCCTATGGAGGTCGGGACACCCTGGGCAAGGCACGCTGGGTGAAAGGCAGTGGGGCAGCCTTGGGGACCACATGTGTTGTCTAGAGAGGGCATTCCATGAACCGTCATGGAAGAATGTGGGCCCAGCTGCCAGAGCTCCTGTTTTCAACAGAGAAATTGTACATCTGGGTTTTATGTGGAAACTCCTGATTTTTACATGTTGGCTCAAGTTTGACCGTCATGGAAGAATGTGGGCCCAGCTGCCAGAGCTCCTGTTTTCAACGGAGAAATTGTACATCTGGGTTTTATGTGGAAACTCCTGATTTTTACATGTTGGCTCAAGTTTCTAAAAAACAGTGTGGCCCAACATAACAGGTCTGAGAGTCAGAGGGAGTTCCAGGGCTCTGGCTTGTGAGCCTGTGCCGGGTGGTACATGGGAGCAGGCGCACAGGGCCCCCCTCCTTCCTGTGCCCTCTGGCCTCTGTGTCCCCCAGTGCTCAGTCTCCCGGAGGAGGTGGGGAAAGGGTTGGGTGGGGCCTGGTCAGGGACTGAGTTACAGGGGAGGGGGGGTGCAGGACTCCCCGAAGGGTGGCCCCAGCCCTGCAAGGAGACTTCACCTGGCATCCTTGGTCTGGCGTTGAGGCCTCCCAAGACCGACCCCAGCCTTTCTCTGCAGCCACGTTCCCACTTCATTGCTGTCCTCACGCACCATAGCTCCGGCCAGACTGACCGGCCTGCGGTCACCTGTGTGCACCCTGACCTGGGGCTCTGCGGGGCTCCTCCCCTGGCTGGAATGCCTTCCAACTCACACCCAGTTAGGCCCTTATCGTGTTTTGTCTCCGGCAGTAATTATCTGTGCCCTCCTTATCTTCCTCCTGGACTGTGTGTTCCCAGCGGGCAGAGGTAAAGGGCGCATCTCCCTGCACAGCCAGGGCCTGGTCTGTGGTGGCCAAATAAAGTGACATATGAATTCAGAGGGAGCGATCTTCGTGTGCTTGGTTCATTTTTGTGACTTCAGTTCATTTTGCACTTAGAACGCTGCCTCATGCACATTGTATGTTAATAAACAACTGCAGAATGAATGAATGAGTGCATTTGGGCGGCTGCAGTGTGGGTGGTCTGCTGCACTGTCAAGTATGCCACCAGTGGGTGCTTTGAGGGTTCCCTCCCTGTCCCTCGGTTCCCTAACCTCCCCCACCTTGGCATCTTCACTGCCTTCTATTTTCCAACCTTCCTAACCCCTAACCATGACCTCCTTTCCCCCTTCCTCTGCTCTCCTGGCCTGGTCCTCAGAACACACTGTCTTGCTCCCCAGGGGCCAGAGGCTGCATCTGCCTGTACCTGCATAAGCTCTTTATAACCCCCCATCCCTTCCCCACGGCCTGGCCTGAAGACCAGGATCAGCGATGCCTCCAGAATAAACGACAGCGTGAGGGCCCCACTGCCCAGTGCAGCCCAATGTGGGCCTCACCTGTGGAGTGGGACACCTGGAAGCCCTTCCGCTGGACCGAATTGTCAGAGTAGAAGCGCAGGAACATGCGGCTGCCTGTGGTCAGGACAGGCTCAGGTTTCTTGCTTCCACAGAAGCGGCCAAGGACAGGTGCCTTGGCATCGCGCCCGTCAAACACCTCCAGGTGGTCATAGGCACACTCAGGCTGAGACTCGATGTCCATCTCCACGAAGGTCTGAAGGGCATCAGGGAAGAGTCCAGTTAGGAGTGTGGCCCCAATTCTAGCCCTTCAGAACCCAGCTCACAGATACCCGTGGGAGTGGCCACTGCAGGGGCACCCCCCAGTGTATATGGGAGAGGGGTCCTCTGTCTGAGCCATCCAGTCTGCAGCCTGCATGATTCTGCAGGGCTTAGGAGAGGACAGGATGGCTACATAGCATGGAGGACCCATGTGCAGGCAGGGGAGTGGGTGCCTTACCAGCTTGACCCGGTGCCCAGGGGTGCTGGAGATGACCCATGTGCACTCCTTCTTGCTGGGATATTTGTCAGGCCAGTTGGGGCTGGTGATGGTGCCACTGGTGGATGTCACCTTGTGGTCACAGCCGGCTGTGGGGAGGAGAGGGATGGAATGGGACAGGCAGGGGCCCATGCTGTGACACCTCCTGTGGGGAAGGCCCTTCCCTCCTGCCTCCCATCTTTGGTCCCCCACTTGCAAACTGGACTGAAGGCATCCAACATTTCTTTCTCATTTGGCTACCTGTGCCTGAGGAAAATCTATCTGCTTGGTTCCTACAGGAGCCCTAAGTGAGGCCCCACATGGCAGCACCTGCGGACATGGCCATTGCAGGCTCCGCCTGGCCACATCACCTCTGACCCTCCTCAAAACTGTCCTCCACTGATCCCCACCCTCCTCCATGGTCGCGGGAGATTTTGGCACCTGACCCACTCCTCCCCCACCCCCACCCCTGCCCATCCTAGGTGATGTCAACAAACGCCCAGAACAGCCCTCCCTTCCTTGACCATCTCAGCTCTATCTCCCTTCCTTGCGACCTCTCCCTAAGCTGTGTCACCCGCTGCTCCTCCATGCCACAATGCATCACCCTCTCTGCGGCCACCTCCCATTCCTCCGGGGTGCCCAGGCCTTCGCTTCTGCCACAACAGTTAGTCAGCTTTAGAGAGACCTCCCACGTCTCGATCTTTCCATCGGCTCCCAGCATTTCCTCCTTGGTTGACTTAACTGACTACTTGGCTCATCACCTGAACAGCCCCTCAACACTTCCGTGGCCTCATGCCCCGTCCTTCCACGGCACCATCTTGGAAAACCCCACCATGGTCTCCAACCTCCCTGTCCCTGGGTTCCCCACACGATACTCTTTGGTTTTGTTCTTGGCCAGCTCCGTCTCTTACCTATGCAGCAACTCCCCAAACCTTTAGCCCTCTCCTCAACCCCCAACCCCTCCGTCCCAGCAGCAGACCACCTCTCCTGTCCCTGCTGAGAAAGTCAGAGCCCTGCCCTCCACTCTCAATGGCTTCAAGCTCTGGACCTCCATCCTCTTTCCTTTTCTTCTCAGCAAACATAACAGAAAACTTGCTATCACCACGTTCTCACTCTCCGATGTGGCCTCAATCCACAGCAATCTGACTTCTGCTTCTCAAAAGCATGGCCTCCCCAACTCGAATTTAAAAGCCAATGATTATTTTTCACGATTGTGCAATCTGAGGGCAAGTGGGCAGCCGGTTCACTGTGGCTGGGTAGGGAGAAGGGATGGGCAGGGTGTGGAGGTCACCATCTACCCATAGGGCACTAACTGTGTGTGTCTAACTGTGTGTGTGATGAAGTGTGTGTGTGTGTCCACCCAATGGGGTCAACTTGGGAGGAGAAACCTGAGAGTAAGGCCTTGAGGTTAAAACCACCTGTGTGGCGCCCACCGCCAGGCCTGTGCAGTGCGCCATGGGATGAGCAGCTTACGCTTGCCAGAGCCAGGCACTGCGCAGAGCACTTCGCAGCGCTCCAGCGCCCCTCTGGGGTAGGCATTGTCATTATCTGCATTTCACATAGGAGCAAACCCAGGCACAGAGAGGGTACAGTCACTCAGGGGCACACAGCTAGCTAAGCGGCAGGGCTGGGCCAGACAACCTGGCTGCAGAGTCTTTCTCCTAACCTTTTCCCATCTTGCCTCTGTGCCAGCAGGGGGGCACTACAAAGAGAAAGAATTGGACACGGGTTTTGGGAAGTGCTAACCACCAGAAGAGCCTGAGAAGAGAGCCTGGGAGCCACCGCGAGCTCCTCTCCTGGCATGGGCAGGAGAGCCCATCTTGCCTCTGTGCCAGCAGGGGGGCACTACAAAGAGAAAGAATTGGACACGGGTTTTGGGAAGTGCTAACCACCAAAAGAGCCTGAGAAGAGAGCCTGGGAGCCACCGCGAGCTCCTCTCCTGGCATGGGCAGGAGAGGCTGGAAGCATGTGCAGTTCAGATATTGCAGGAGCGGGAGGTGGGATCTGTGCACCAGGTGAGAGGTGAAACCAGGTAACCTCAGATGTCACTCAGCTCCAGGTGCAAACCAAGGCCGATGAAAACAGCACTCCTGGCCTAGGAGGTGGGATCTGTGCACCAGGTGAGAGGTGAAACCAGGTGACCTCAGATGTCACTCAGCTCCAGGTGCAAACCAAGGCCGATGAAAACAGCACTCCTGGCCTTCCATGTCCAGCAGGCTCTGGCCACTTGCGCCATGTGTCTGGTATCCATGTGGCCCTTACCTTCCTTGCAGTCGTGTTTGTTGTCATGGAGGACGAAGCCACTGCGACACTGACACTCATAGCTGCCGAATGTGTTGACGCAGTCCTGCTGGCAGCCGCCGTTATCCTTGGAGCATTCGTCCTTGTCTGCAAGGGGAGCAAACAAGGACAGAGGCTGGGTCTGTGCAGAGCTGAGGCCTGGTCACCCCAGGGGAAGCGGGAGGCCTGGCTGGGCTTCCTCCCACCGAGAGAGCAGTGGCCAGCAAGAGCGGGCCAGGCCGGGTGGGCAGCAGGAGGCCCAGGCGGCAATGGGGTCCGGGGTGCTGCATCAAGCCGAACCAGCTGAGTGGGCCCAGCTGCCGGAGAGAAAGGAAAAGGGGAGGCGGGGAGGGCCAGGGGCCTGCAGCTGACCAGCATGGGAACCCTCTACCATTACCTGCTTACTGGACAGACGGACAAGTGGAAAAACAGACACACGGACAAGCAGACTGCAAGAGAAAGGAGCAGGACGCAGGGGTCCCTCTTTTACTTCGCAACAGGAAATGTCACAGACACCATCAAAATGGGAGGGGGCCGGGGACAGGGAAGGGTCCCCTGTCTGCATGAAGGGAACAGGGGAGAAGAGGAGAGCACCAGTTCTGTCCGGCCACAAGGAGGCAGGCCGGAATGGCAGAGCGGAGGCAGGGGCTTGGGTGGGCACCAAAGCCCCCATCCCATTCCGTCCAAGGTGAGGTTCCTGAGTAACAAAGGGTCCGGGAGGCCTGGCAGGCCTCACTGGGGGGTCCGGTTTCTTTTCTGCACTCGGAATTTGAGCTGGTGGGGGCGTCCCCGAGGGGGCTGCAGAGCTGGCCTCTTTTCTGAAACGAGAGAGAGAAGGAGAAAAGGGACCGAGGGGTGGGGGTGGAGGGCAGGGACCAGGGAGGGAGGCGGTGAGAACCAGACCCAGGGCCTCCGAGGTGGAGCCACCGGTCCACGGGGTGGGGGTGGGAAGGCAGGTGGGACACTCATGCAGGACAGCCATGTCCAGGCGCAGCCAGGTCATGAGGGCTGGGTTAGCAGGTGGGAGGAGGCAGAGCGACAGGGGATGGAGACAGAGCCTGTGGCAGGGAGAAGGCCTGGAGGGACTGCAAGGGGCGGGACCAAGGCACTGGGAAAGGAGAGAGATGGGAGTGGATGCGGAAAGGGCTCCGTGAGAGCTCCCTCTCCCTCCATTTCCGGCGGCTGCATCTATACAGTGTGTTAGACACAGATGTGGAGGGACTGCAAGGGGCGGGACCAAGGCACTGGGAAAGGAGAGAGATGGGAGTGGATGCGGAAAGGGCTCCATGAGAGCTCCCTCTCCCTCCATTTCCGGCGGCTGCATCTATACAGTGTGTTAGACACAGATGGACGGATACACACTAACACACCCACAGATACAGGATCCCCACACAACCCCATGCATGGATGGACTGTCATCCAACCTGACAACACAGACACTGATCCACAGACACATACGTACATGTGCACATAGTACACACCATAGACACACGGACATACATCCACAATACAACAGGCAATGCATATACAAAAACACAGGCAACCACACACACATACCATCACCCCCTGGCCTGTGTACACGTGTACACAAGAGCTATGCATGACCTACTCTCACATATGTGTGAGGGAGCACACACAGATATAACACACGGACAGGCACAGACACACACAGGGCGACGGACACATCTGCACATGCAGGCGCCTGGAAACTCAAACGTGGTTACGGAGAAACACATAAATGAAGAGACACACAGGCCCTTTAGCAGACAGCTCACATGCATGCCTGCACACGTGTCAGCAGACATGCACACACACTCACACAACGTGTGCACTGACACAGAGCTACACATGGTCACAGGCGTGTGTATGTCACAGCCACATACCCTCAGGTCTGCCTGTGTTCATTTTGGGGATTGTGCCTGGCTTAGAAACAGGCATTCAGGGAAGGGGTGTGGACCACAGTGGAGGCCCAGGATGCCAGAAACAGACGCCTGCTGGCATTCAGTTGACCAGGGGGTTCTGCCACAGGGGTATCAGCTCCCAGAGGGCCCAGCTTCTCCAGCCCATGCTCAGGTGGGCCAGACCCCTTGGTCCCACAGGAATGCAGGGCCAAGAGGTGGCGTCTCCAAGTCCCTTCCCAAGGGCACCTTCTCAGCTGGCACATCAGAGGGGAGCCTGACGGAGGGCTCTCCAGAAGCTGCCTTGGTACTAGCCCCGTGGGGAATGTGGGGGTGAGGATACCCTACGACCTGTCCCGGGGGTTCCCTGAGGATATCACCAGTGTCTGTGCTAGGAGCTTCAGGGTGCTAAGCTCATGGACTGAGCAAAGACTTCCCTGATGTGTTTTGACCTCCACCCCTTCCTCGTACTTGCACCCCAAATATCTAGTACAGTGTCTGGCACACAGTAGAGATAAAATAAATCCTCGCCTAGTGAATGAGTGAGTAGTTAGGTGAATGGTTGAATGAGTGTGGGAAAATGAGTCCTAGGGGGCTGCTGCAGCCTCCTGGGTGGCAGCAGGCAGCCTTGCCTCGGAGCCGGGGAGCAGGTGGCAGGGGGGCAAGGGGAGGTGACATGAACCCGGACGTGGAGATGGCACTCACCCTACAGTGCCCAAATGCCCCGAAGGTGGCTGGGGTCAGACTGAAGGTCTTCAGGCTCGCTCTTCTCCTTCTTGGCTTAGGGTCTCCTTGATGGGTGTCCCAAAAGTCCAAATAGCCCCCCTCCTGGGGGGACCAGAGTCAGATGCCCCATGCCCTGAGGGTGGAACCTTGATGCCCACCAGTGAGGGTCCTCTGCAGGTTTCTTGGCAATGCACGTGTGTGTGCGCATGTGTGTGTCTGTGCCCAAGTGAGGGTGGGGTGGGCACAGTGTCATGCTGGGGGTGGGGGCAGAGCAGTAACTCCAGGCCTGATGTGAGTGTTGATCTACCCCCTCCCCAAGACTGGAGCAACAGAGGGCAGGAAAAGACAAGAGTAAGCAGGTAATGGTTTCCCTGGGGCAGAGCCCACCCTGAGCAATTGTTACACCCCCTCAGCCCTCTGCTGAGCTCCTTAGAGGAGTTCCACATGGGCACAGGGAAGATAGGGACTGGCGTTGCAGGGGGAGGGTCTCAGCAAGCAGTGGGGCGGGAGGGGTGCTGTGGGGCAGAGAGGCAACAGGGCATTTTGAGCAGAGCAGGGTGGCTGGCAGTGCCAAGCAGGGAACCAGTGCACGGGGACAGGTGCATGGCATCCAGGTGGGGCAGGCAGGGGTGCAGGGTGACCACATAGGGGGCTCGAGGATGCAGGACCCTGGGCAAAGGAGGGGAGAAGGAAGGCAGCGTGGACTCGGCCGTGGGCTTCCTGCCCTCATGCCCACCCTGTGTCTGGCCCACCAGGAGTGTTGGGGGCGAGGATCCCTGGGCCATTCCTTCTCAAAGCCGCGTGCTCCGGGCAGCTCTCCAACCTCCCACTCTGCCCCACGCTTCATTCCACAGAGCTCCTCCACAGAACTCCTGCCCTCACTGCCTGGGTCAGGGGACCTATTGTCTCTGGGAGACCACCAGACACCTGATAGCTAGACTCGGGGTGAAGGACTCAGGCTAGCCTGGAGCCAGGGAAGGCTTGGGGCTTGTGTGGGGAGCAGGTAGCTAAAGTCTAAAGGATCTCCAGGACAGGGAGCTTCCCCAGGTGGGAAAAGCAGGGAGGCATCTCCCGGGACCCCAGAGGTCCAGTTCAGACAGGCCGAGCAGAGGGCTGCTGACGTGGCCATCAGAGGCCCCGACGAGCCCAGGTGACTGGAGCCTAAGCCTCCTGTAGGGAAGCCCTCAATAAATCCCATATGCTGGTGGGATCTGAGACCCCACTCATAGGCCAACGGGGAGTGGGAAGGCTTTGGGATTCAAGGAGGGAAGGCGACTCATCTCTGAAGGCCCCGGGCATGAACATATTGGGCATGTGCAGGGTCTGATTAGAAGTCTGGCTGCTGGCAAATAATCTACCCCCCATGGTGCAAAGCACACACCTCTTCTTCTCCATCCACCTCATGTTCTCGATATACTGAACCCCCATTCCCAGGCCCTGCCTTCTCTTGGCCTTGGCCTGCATGTTCCTGGCACCTGGAACGCCCTCTCCCTTTCATTGCCCAGGTTCTGCCCATCCTCAGGTCTGGCCCCAGTATAGCCCTGAGGGCTCAGGAACAACAGGATTCGGATGCCAGAGAGGCTGGCCTGATGGTGGTGGTGAGTGGGGTGGAGCAGCACGGGGCAGACTCTGCTGGCTGGGCACCATGGAGGGCTGGGGAGGACACGGGTGCAGGGGCAGGGGAGAAGGGGAGCCCCGTCCTCTGAGAGGAAGCAGGGCTAGGAGCTGGGGAGTCTGGGGTTACCTGAGAAGAAGTGGGCCTTAAAGCCCTTTTTGGACACGGTGTTGTCAGACTTGAATTCCACGCGCATGTTGTTGTACTGGGAGGTGATGACCTCGGGCTTCTCGGAGCCACAGAACTTGCCATGCAGCTTGGAGTCAGCTGTGAGTCCACTGCGCACCTCCACAAAGTCGTATTTGCATACCTGCAGGGGAGACCAGCTCCAGGCCCGCCTCCTCCAGGAAGCCTCCCCTGACCACTCCTACCCGGGGAAGCTCCCTGTCCTGCAGATCCTTTAGCCTTTAGTTATCTGCTCTCACACCTCAGATCCTCCTGGGCTCCCCACGCAAGCCCCAAGCCAGCCTCCTGCTTTCCATGGCTCCAAGACTTTCCTGCCTCGATCAATGGCCTTCATTCCCACATGCTATATGCTCCCCGGCCTGAAAGGCCCTCCCGCCAAGCCTGCCCTGCTCCCTGAACTGGGGGCAGTCTCTCATCCTCTGCATTCTCAGAGGGGAGGAAGAGGCACGGAGCAGAGCTCCCACACTCCATGGCTTCCTGCCCGCCCTGGCCCCTGGGGGTCACTTACGTCATTGCCTTCGGTCTCAAAGAAGTCGAACTGCAGGGAGATGCGGTACTGGGTGGGGGCCACCAACTGCCAGATGCAGTTTTTGTTGGGGGGGTACTCCTTGGGCCAGCCTGGGCTGGTGATGGAGCCGTTGAGCTTTGTGAGGAATCCTCCACAGGCAGCTGGGGGACAAGGGAGAGGCGTCACCCGCCAGGAGTCCCTGCTCCAGGGAAGGGCCTGGGATGTGGGCTGGGATGTGTCAGGAGGAGACAGGTCTGTGGGTTCCCCCTCCCGGGGGCTCGTGTCTGCTCCCTGTGGGACAGGCGGTTAGGACGCAGGGGAGGGTGGGGGAGCCTGGAGGTGGGAGTAGAAGGGTTGAGGGGACATATGAGTGGCCATTTCTATCTTCTCTGTGAAAGAACAGGCCAGGGTCTGACAAGAGGGAGGAGGCAGAGTGAGGGCTCAAAGAAAGCAGGGCTGGCAGGCAGCTCTGGAGAGGTTGGCAGGGAGCTGCCCAGAGGTGCAGCAGCAAGATGGGCGGAGCTGGAGCCAACAGCCCGGGGTGCTGTCACAGCATCTCAGGAGCGTGCACAGAGAGGCCGAGCCTCAGTGCCTAGGCAGCTCTGGAGAGGTTGGCAGGGAGCTGCCCAGAGGTGCAGCAGCAAGATGGGCGGAGCTGGAGCCAGCAGCCCGGGGTGCTGTCACAGCATCTCAGGAGCGTGCACAGAGAGGCCGAGCCTCAGTGCCTGTCCCAGAACAGGGGCTTCAACCTCTCCCGGGTGGTGACATCCATTAGCAGGTCAAGATCAGCATTTGCGAAAAAAGACAAAGGATGAAAGAATACCATCAAAGCCAGAGCGCATTACACACGGCAACAGTGTGTCCTGGGGGTGGCAAGAGCAAAGCTATTTCTGATCCATGAGCTGTGAAGAGTGCTAGGGAATCCTTCCAGCTTTTCCAGAAAGGTCTGTCCAGAAGCACAAGAAATCTGGCTGGAGAGCTTGGGGTGGGGTAGGGAATAGGGCTCCGGAGGCAGCTGGGGGCACTCACCCTCACAGCGGCGCTTGTCCGGGGCCAGCTCATACCCAGGGTCACAGCTGCACTTGTAGCTGCCTAGAGTGTTGAGGCATCGCTGCTCACAGCCCCCGCGGTTGGGCCGAGAGCACTCGTCCACCTCTGCGGTGGGAAGGAAAGGGTGTCACACGTGCCAGGCCAGGGTCAGGTCCCACTTCCAGGCTTCCTGTAACCACCCCTCTCCCCGTTCTGGGAGGGAAGACAGATATGAGACTCCCCCATCTGCTCAGCCCCGAGGCCCCACCCAGCCATCCACGGCAGCTCAGAACCCCACAGGGAGAGCCCACAAGTGGACCCCACAGAGCCTTCTTTCTGAGCACATGGGCAGGGCTGGTGGCAACTGCTGTTTACTGGAGCCTCTCATGTGCTGTCCCCTGAGTACTCTTATTTCTCCTCCAATCCTTACATGATGCTGTGATGAGGTGACTGTCACTATGCCCATTTTACAGGTAAGAAACTGAGGTACAAGAATATGCCCAAGGTCATGCAGGTTAAAAAAAATCCATGCTGCCTGGCTACTGCTCTTGGCGTTGGCCTCTTCCCCCCAGTTAGCTCCTTAGCAGCAAGGCCCAGGGGTCTTACTGGCATTTGCATCCCCCACAGAGTCCCTGTGTTGAATGAGTGAATGCAGAAGGTCTGAAGGAGCCGGCCTAGCCATGGGGTTGGACGGGGCAGGAGAACTGGGGAGGAGGGAGGGACCTTTGAAAAAGTTGACAGCGAAGCCCGCTTTGTTAATGGATCCATCCGAGACAAATTTGAGCCAGAGGCGGCTGGATGTGCTCTTGATGTCATCGGGCTTCTCATAGCCACAGTAGCGCCCGATCAGGGTGCTGGTCTCACTGTGCCCGTCCCGTACCTCCAGGTAGTCGTAGGCACAGCTGTCGTGGCGCTCGATCTGGGGGGCGTGGGAAGGGCCCGGTGAGCAGGAGGAGGTGTGGCTGCCAGGGACCCAGCCCTGGGAGCCCACAGAGAGTGGGCTGTCCCAGGGGGCAAGTGGGGGATGCAAGTGTCCCATCACAGGGTCTCCGACCTACCTCAAAGGACTGGAAGGTGAGGCCCACGTGGAAGCCCTCGGACACTTGGATCCGCCAGATGCAGACTTTGCTGGGCCGGTAATCATCTGGGTAATTGGGAGACTGGATATGGCCATTGTCCTTTTTCACATCACCCCCGCAGATGGCTGTGGGGACACAGAGTGAGGCGGGGAGGGCGATAG